AATGGATGTTCGACACAAGATGGTCTACTAGTTGTATTGTGTAATTAATCTGTATATGCTAGTATTTTATAACACAATATACTATCAAATAGTCAACTTTAGCATCATCATTGGTCCAAGTATCTGTGGGAAAATCATTCAAATGGCATGAAAAATACCAACTCCTGGTTTATTTTGTTCATTTATGCAAAGGGTCTAATAAAATTCTAGGGTTTCCTTTCACTTTCAAGTGTAAAAAAAATTAAATTTTATTTATCAATTAAAATAGTTAATGATAATGTATTAAAATTGATTATTTGATTCTTGTTTTTGTTGGAAATTAAAGCAATTTTCAAACTCAAGGATTTTCAGTATAAACAATAAAGTGAAATATCATTCAACATACAAAATACTGGACACAGAAATATTGGACACTGGAATACTGGACACTAAAATATCAGATATTAAAATAGTGGACACTGATATATTGGTGACTAAATATTGGACATTAAAATACTGGACACTAAAATATCAGACATTTAAATATTGGACACCAGTATATTAGATGCTAATATATTGGACACTAAAATATCACTAAAGATGTTTGTCTCAAGTTTATAATATAGAATTTTTTTACCATGCCTCAAAGTCCACGCTTGCAATTTTTATGCAACTTCATATTTTTATTTTTCTCTCCAATTTTCTGTTCAGTCATTATGATAATACATAATTTTGATGAGACATGCAATTTTGATGAGACATGCAATTTTGATGAGACATAACTTATTTGCATTAAGCCATTTCTATATCACTTTGAAAAATGTCATCGCAAAAGAGGAATCAGATTTGATTACTTTCTCTGAATTCAACAGGTAGTACCTCAGGAACACCAAATCCCACAAAGAAATAGTAGACCTTCTTTTCAGGTAGTGCCTCTGGAACACCAAATCTCACAAAAAAATAGTGGACCTTCTTTTTAGGTAGTGCCTCAGAAGCAACAAATCCCACAAAGAAATAGTGGACCTTCTTTTCAGGTAGTGCCTCTGGAACACCAAATCTCACAAAAAAATAGTGAACCTTCTTTTTAGGTAGTGCCTCAGAAGCAACAAATCCTACAAAGAAATAGTGGACCTTCCTTTTAGGTAGTGCCACTGGAACACCAAATTCCACAAAGAAATAGTGGACCTTCTTTTTAGGTAGTGCCACAAAAATAGTGGACCTTCTTTTTAGGTAGGCCTCAGGAACACTAAATCCCACAAAGAAATAGTGGACCTTCTTTTTTAGGTAGTGCCACAGGAACACAAAAATCCCACAAAGAAATAGTGGACCTGTTTTTTAGGTAGGCCTCAGGAACACTAAATCCCACAAATAAATAGTGGACCTTCTTTTTTAGGTAGTGCCACAGGAACACCAAAATCCCACAAAGAAATAGTGGACCTGCTTTTTAGGTAGGTCTCAGGAACAAAAAATCCCACAAAGAAATAGTGGACCTTCTTTTGTAATTTAAAGATTTTTCTAATAATTTTTTTTTTTTTACAAATAACCTTTGTAATGCTCAGGGATAAAATCTGCTTAATTAAAACTGAACATAAAACAATGTTTGTTTTTTTTTTTCAATAGTCCAGCTGCATATTCTTATTATTTTTTTTTTTTTAATTTTCATAACTGCTTTTACAGACACAATGTACACAGAATTTATCAAGACTTTGGAAATATTTCAAAATTATTATAAAACTATTTCCTCTGAATTTTGCTTAAGTTATTACTAGACAGGCCACTAAAAAATGTAAACTTATCAAAGAAATAAATATTAGTGTTAGCACAGAAAACATTTAAATAAAATGAAAACTAGCTAACATTAAATGAAAAGTAATTAAAAGATGAAAACAATATACTCTTTTACAAATGAAACTTACCTGCCGATTCATTATTATAATACTTTCAATCATAAAAAGATGCAAAAAAATATTTTACTGATATCCTTTTTCCAATGACTTTATTGTACTTTAAAATTTTAATTAATTATTTTTAACTCTGAAAATGGATGCAAGAGTCATCATCTCCAGGCTGACAGGAAGATACAGATGTTCAGAAAATAGCACAATGAAAATGAGAAGATACTTATATGTTGACAATGATAAGATACTGACATGCTGACAATGATGAAATTATACTGTAGTGCTGACAATGATGAGAAGATAGTGACATGCTGGCAATGATGACATAATAGACATGCTGACAATGATGACATAATAGACATACTGACAATGATGAGAAGATAGTGACATGCTGGCAATGATGACATAATAGACATGCTGACAATGATGACATAATAGACATGCTGGTAATGATGACATAATAGACATGCTGACAATGATGACATAATAGACATGCTGACAATGATGAGAAGATAGTGACATGCTGACAACAATAAGATAATGATGTGCTCACAATGATGAGAAGATAGTGACATGCTGGCAATGATGACATAATAGACATGCTGACAATGATGAGAAAATATTGACATGCTGACAATGATGAAAAGTTACTGACATGCTGACAACAATAAGATACTGATGTGCTGACAATGATGAGAAGATTCTGACATGCTGGCAATGATGACATAATAGACATGCTATTAATGATGAGAAAATATTGACATGCTGACAATGATGAGAAGATACTGACATGCTGACAACAATAAGATACTGATGTGCTGAAAATGATGACATAATAGACATGCTGACAATGATGAGAAAATATTGACATGCTGACAATGATGAGAAGTTACTGACATGCTGACAACAATAGGATACTGATGTGCTGACAATGATGAGAAGATTCTGACATGCTGGCAATGATGACATAATAGACATGCTGACAATGATGAGAAGATACTGACATGCTGACAATGATGAGAAGATACTGACATGCTGACAACAATAAGATACTGGTGTGGTGACAATGATGAGAAAATTTTGACATGCTGACAATGATGATAAGATACTGACATGCTAACAATGAGAAAACACTGACATGCTGACAATAAGATATTAACATGCTGACAATGACAAGATACTGATGTGCTGACAATGATCAGAAGATATTGACATGATAACAATGATGGTAATGACATGCTGACAATGATAAGAAGATACTGATGTGCGGACAGTGATGAGAATATATTGACATACTGACAATGATAGATACTGACATGCGGACAATGATAAGAAGATACTTACATGTTGAAAATGATTTCAAGATACTGAGATGCTGACAATGATGAGAAGACACTGACATGCTCAAATTGAAAAGAATAAAATGACATGCTAACAATGAGAATATACTGACATGCTGATGATAAGATACTGACATGCTGACAAAGATACTGACATGCTGATAATGATAAGATACTTATATGCTGACAATCATGAGAAGATACTGACATGCTAATAACGATAAGAAGATACTTATGTGCTGACAATCATGAGAAGATACTGACATGCTAATAACGATAAGAAGATACTTATGTGCTGACTGATGAGAAGATACTGACTGATATTGAGAAAATGCTGACATGTTGACAATGACAAGATGATACCAATTTGCTGACAATGATTAGGATCTGGCATTTATACATGTAAAATGTAATTTTTGAAGGTTTGAAGGTTGCTTAAGACATGGAACTAATTTTAATGATGTATGTTCCTATGCATAGCAGGTACTTTCTGGTGGAAAATACCCAGAGCATATGACAAGAATTAATCCTCCCATCAGGGTGAAATGAAAGATTCAAGTACATTAGATAGACTCCAGACAACCCTTAGACAATATGCCATCAGTCCTCTTATAGGAACATTAGTGTGGGGCAGGTGGAGTGAATTTGGCAATAACAACAGGCAAGTATTACATCAATAAAACTAGTTTTACCCTCACCCCATTTTAATATAAGTAATAGAAAAGTGGCTGCTATTATGTAGCAGAATTCGTTTGCTGGATCCTACAACTGGCCACATGTGTCAATATTTTGAACTACAATTGGACTCAAGTATGACAATTGGACTCAAGTATGACAATTGGACTCAAGGACCATTGCTCTGGTGACCCTAGGTAATAAGAGGAGAAGGAAGCATGAGATTGCCAAAATACAGCTTTCATCACAACCTCCAGATACAAATAAATTACATAGGCACCATTAGGTAGCAATGGCTTGAACCTAATGAGCAATATTTCAGGACTGAAAGGTCCTTCTCAGTAAGAAACTGATAAGCTTTCCTGACATCACATGCAATCCACTTCAAATGGTGAAAGCTCAAAGATCAGGAGAACCCTTAAGGGGGAGGAAAAGTCGTTTCCATCCCTTTACTGCCCCTTTCAGAATCTGAAACATAAATCACTAACTGGATATACAAGTCTCACTAGATCATCCCCAACACAGATGCAATTGAATTAGAAATGGAGTGACAGATCATCCCCAGCACAGATGTGATTGCATTAGAAATGGAGTGACAGATCATCTCCAGCACAAATATGACTGAATTAGAAATGGAGTGACAGATCATCCCCAGCACAGATGTGACTGAATTAGAAATGGAGTGACTGAAAGAAGATGGCAACTGCTAAAATCCTGGTTGGCAAAGGAGAGAAGCCAACTTGTAATTCCACTGAACCTCATATAGCATGGTTTAACGGAAAGAAGCTTTACCCAATGGTTCATAAGCATTTTAGTTACAGAATGCAAGATACAAGAGAGATTCCATCTAGACACAGTCAAACGAGAAACCAATTTTGATAATTGTGATGGGATGTGATTATGATTTTTAATGCAGCTTCAACAATTTTTTAGCCATATCACTACGTTGTCTCCAGAGTGACAGATAATAGTGATGTCTAGCACTGGGGCATCATGCTGCAGACATGCAGCATGATGTCCCACCCAGTCATATTATCCTGACACTAACTTCTTAATGCTGAGCATCAAGCGAGGCAGCTATTAGTACTTTTTTTGTAAGTCTTTGGTATGACTCGACTGTGGATCGAACCCACGACCCGCATCTGAGGCAGACACTCTAACCACTAAACCACTGGAGCAGTTAGTTGTTTTTCTTCAATACGGAAGAGATCTCATGATCTAATACAATCAAATACTTTGCATCTCTCTAATGAATTAATACAATCTAATAGCCCATTTCATACCAGATTTAACTGACTGAATTGCTCCTCTGAGTCCCTTTATACTCCAGCCAATCAAATGCTGGTAGGCATATGTACACCACAAAATGGCGTACATTCTTGTTTAGAAGTATCAGATTAAAACAAATTAAGAAATGCCAACTACTTGTATCGTCAGAGGTTGCAAAAGTAATACAATCAGGTTCATTATGAAGGACAAAACTATAATTTTTATGTTTCAGGTTATTTCCACCACATAAGAAATGTTTAGTTATTTTGTAAGCTAGCAAGGAGAGAAGTCCCTTGTAGTTCTTATATAGTACATGTATGACGCTACATTAAAACAATACGAGCCCCTGTGAGCAAGTGGATCTAATTTAATGATTTATATTTAAATGTAAATAATCCACAGACTTTCACAAACAAATGTGATAAACTCATATTAAACACATCTCATTTTAGTGATGTTTCGGATACATATAATTAGTTTAAACAACTTGCTCTTTGATTGTCAGGATTATATTTTTAACATCGCCACGGTTCCATAATCATATGCACATGTCCAGATGTAAAAAGCTCATAGCTACTCTTTCGTATGGCCTTAAAATCCGCCCTGGTATCCAGAAAATAAGACAGGATGGTTCCAATATTAAATTTAGTCAATATCTGTGGCATCATAGCCGTTGAATATGCATTTTTCAACTCGATAAATGAAGCTGAAGTAGTTGGAACAATTGATGCTGATGCTGAGGCGTACGCCATGTTTTGACTACCAGCTATCGATTGGATATTGCAGTCATCTGACCGACCGCCATGTGATCAAAATTCCGAGAAAATTACGAAGTTTGCCGAAGTCTCCATTCTATGCTGATGCGTCCGCCTTGTTTTGACCACTAGTCTGGTCCCTTGCTTAGAATGCTCCCTGCGATGCACTCCGCTATACTATACTAGGGAGCATACTAAGCAGGGGATCAGACTATTTGCCTACCAGCTATCGATTGGGTATTGCAGTCAGTTGACCACCCGCCATGTGATCAAAATTCTGAGCAAATTACGAAGTTCACTTAAGTCTCCATGAAATGGTCTATACTCAGCACCACTCTAATCAATTAATACTCAAATGCTCTGCATCAATTTTATGAATTAATGTACTCAAATGCTCAGCACCACTCTAATGACTTAATACACTCAAATGATCAGCATCACTCAAATGACTTAATACTCAAATAACCAGCACCATTCTAATGATTTAATTCAATCTGTCAGATACTCAGCATCATTTAAGTGACTTAATATAATCAAATATTTAGCATCATTCTGATGACTAATATAACCAGTCAAATATTGGGAATCACTCATGCCTTAATACAATCTTTCAAATACTTGGCATCACTCAGGTCACTTATTACAATCAAACACTTTGCATCACTCTAGTGATTTGATACAATTAGTCATATACTTGGCATCAAGTATAATCAGTAAGACACTTAGGATTTCATACAAGTAGAAGACTACTCTGCATTATTCTAGTGACTTAATACATTCAATTGAGTACTCTGTATCAGGTTATTTAATACAATCAGTTGAGTACTGGTGTTATTAAGTACAATGAGCTGAGTACACTGCATTATTCTAGTGACTTAATACATTCAATTGAGTACTCTGTATCAGGTTATTTAATACAATCAGTTGAGTACTGGTGTTATTAAGTACAATGAGCTGAGTATACTGCATTATTCTAGTGACTTAATACATTCAATTGAGTACTCTGTATCTAGTTATTTAATACAATCAGTTGAGTACTGGTGTTATTAAGTACAATGAGCTGAGTACACTGCATTATTCTAGTGACTTAATACATTCAATTGAGTACTCTGTATCTAGTTATTTAATACAATCAGTTGAGTACTGGTGTTATTAAGTACAATGAGCTGAGTACACTGCATTATTCTAGTAACTTAATACAATCATTTGAGTACTCTGTATTATTCTATTGATTTAATACAATCAGTTGCATACTCTGTATTATTCTAGTGACTTAACACAGTCAATATTCAGTATCCAATACTTGGCATTCCAATGTCTTAATACACTCAAATAAATAGCATCACTCTAGTGACTTAAGAGGGTCAGTGAGTTAATACAATCAAACAGCATCACTCTAGTGACATAATAGGGTCAATGAGTTAATACAATCAAATAGCATCACTCTAGTGACATAATAGGGTCAATAAGTTAATACAATCAAATAGCATCTTTCTATTGACTTAATAAAATCAGCTAAATCTTCTACATTTAATACAATCATAAGCCATAACTCAGCCATTGTTTGTTATACTGAATGATCAAAAGCTTAGACAATACCACATAACTTGTCAAATTTCGATACTCAAACCTTTAATAAAGAAATTTCATGGTATAAAAAAAACTTTGAATTAAGGAAAAAAACAAAGATATTGTTAATCAAAGATTTCCTAAATTCTGTCTTGATCAAACCTCACCTTCTCCAGAAGGAATAACGTTGTTTTGGAACTCTTAAAGCACTTGTACTCATGACACGATGGAAAGAATTTGGTGAAATTCTCAATCCTGATGACCCTGGCGGAGATTCACTATTTAATCCTTCAAATGTTTCCATCTTGAGTACATTAAAAAACAAATCATTGATATCTGTGTGATGCTTTTTCCCATTAGTTTCCAGCCTTATGGCTATGTTGCAGTCTTTGATATCAATTACTTCTCTTTCCTGCATTTAAACTTGATTAAAGGGATATAACTCTTATACTGCTATTGCACAAGCTGTGGCCACTTGAAATAAGACAGCATAATCCAAGGGAAGTAACTCCTGTAGCCTTGTTTAAGTCAACCTCTACTGAATTACTGTCCTCTTACAAATCTGGAACAGAAACAAATATAAACAAAGTGTTATAATTATACCTCTACTGGCAAGATGTATTAACTAGAAGATTTGCTTGAATATAAGATGTATTGTTAAAGAAACTGAGGGTGATTTAGAACCAGAGTTCTCTCTGCCAATGTCCTTTGAATGTCACAACCTATAATAATAATAATAATATTAATAATAATAATAATAATAATAATAATAATAATAATAATGATAATAATAATAATAATAATAACAATAACAATAATAACAATAATAATAAAACAACAACAATAATAATAATAAAACAATAATAATAATAATAATAATAAAACAACAACAACAATAATAATAATAATAATAATAATAATAATAATAATAATAATAATAATAATAATAATAATAATAACATTATGCTTATATGACGAGGGTATCACATGAGAGAGCACTGTCCAGCTGATTTCCTTGTATGAATGGAGCTTTTTTTTTACCGGGCCAGCTTTCTTTTTTTTTTATCTCTATCACATATTGAATAACTTTCCCACTTCTTTCCAGTCATCTGTTTTTTTATCTTTTCTTCTAACATTTTTATAAAACAAATCATTGCATCAACTCTAAACATAAATGCAGACATACATGTTCATACCCTTGTATCATCCAAATCAACAGCACTATCATTCGTAATTGATAGAAATTGATGATGTATTATTTTAATAACACTATTCTACACAATTTTGTCACAAGCTTTGGACCATTTTGAAGGAGTGACAGGGTGGAATGTGATGACATCATCTGAGGACAAGGAACATTTTCAAAAAGTAACAAACTGCAGTAGTTTCAATACAATAAATAAATAAATTTTCACAATACATTATTACATGAATAACTTGAAAAGAAGAGGGGGTTTATTGCTGTCTTACATAAGTATATGACATATAGGTCACAGTGACCTTGTTTTTAAAAGGTAAAGTATATGTTGTTCTGGAATTCAGGACTAGAAAAGCAGTCTGTAACAATATGAGGGCAAAAATCCACTGAGTAACATATATGTATGAATTCTTCCAAGATTCCTCAAATTGATTTTACACTCATAAAAAGATCACAGATATAAATGAAAGCAAGACACTACTTTGCAAAGAAACATAACTCAAAACTCAGACCAATATCTGCAATCAATGTCACTTTAATCTTCAAGCTAATGACCCCCCAAAATGATGTGCTTTTTTCTTTGCCTGAGAGGAACACTCCAAAAACTTTTGCTGAATTCCATCCACAAGCAGGCCAGATTGTAATAAGTGAACTGAAAAAAGTTGAATGCTAACAAATCAATGGAGTGGACCAAATAGGATCATTCATCTAAAATAAATGTGTTGATATTGTTGCTTCATCTCTTTCCAATATAATTAATCAAAGCATTACTAAGGGAATCTTTACAATTTAACTGAAGGCTACAACTTTTATGCATGTTTATAAAAAGGGTTAAAATCAAATTTAGATAATTACAGACCAATATAAATTCTTCCAGACACATCCTGCCAATCTGAAAAATGCATTTCCAAACATCTCAATGATTACCTTTCAAAGCGCTAATCACCTAGATTCAGACAAAACCATTACAGTCAGTCTGTACTAAAAATACTCATTGATGACATTTTGTTTGACAATGGAAAATTGATTGGAACATTACATCTTGATTTTAAGATGGCATTTGATGTAATTGACCATAATTCATTTGATGGAAACTTGAAAAGCACACATGATTTGACTTGCCACTCTCATGCTTAAAATTGTACCAATCTGACAGAAACCAAGACATTATTTTAATAACATTATATCAGAGCTCAGATCTCCAGCAAGAAAGGAGTTCCACAGGGATCTGTTTTAGGCCTGGTATATTTCATATTACTTATTATATATTTATGTATGTATAACATTAAAAAACTTGTCAATATGTGCTGATGACACTCTTCTGTCGGATTTTAAAATTAAAATTTTAAACAATTGGGTCATGATTAATAATATGCTGAATATTAAT